TCTTTGTTAATAAAGTTGATAAAAAATATATTAAAATATATTTTTTATATAGTAATAATATTACTAAAATTAATATTACAATTTTTTTTAATTTTGCAAGTAAATTTACCTGCTAGACAATCTAGGGATAAGATATTATTTATTGATTTACAATTTATCCAACTTGTGTAAAAAAAATTATAAAATTTTTGAATTAAACTAAAAAACTGGATTCTTAAAATTATATGAAATAATCATCATTTTGAAAGTTGGTAAAGATAATAAACTAAGCAAAGAAATGAAATCATTTAGTATTACAACTTGAATTTAATGCATTAATTAAATGAAAAAATTGACCTTAATAAAACCCATTAAGGCTTATTTGTCCTATTCCTGTTACTTTAATAAAGTGCAATGACATTTAGCAGAAAATTAAAAGAGCTTATATTTGTTAATTAGATTCTTAATTAATTACAATTCCAAGGATAAAATCAAAAAAAAAATTTTTTTTGTTATTCTGCAAAAAATTCAGGACTTTTCTTAATACGACTAATATCAAAGAAGTAGATAAATAGCAAAATTAATCCTTAAATTGTGAAACGGAACAAGAATATTTCAAAAATTTAAAAAAATATGCAAGATAATTATACAAATTTTGTATAACAAACCCTTAATAAACTTCTAGAATATCGATCATTTACATATTTAGAAATTAAATATATGCTAAATGCAGATTCTTGCGGGCTTTAAAAACGATCCAAATTTTATAATCTGATCGACATTTTCCTCCGCTAACATGAAAATTACTCTTAATTCCAAATTAAAATTAATTAATGATACATCATTCTTGACAATTCTGTTTTATATAACTTATATCTCATTAGTTATTGCTTCTTCTGAAGAAAATTTTGAATCGAAATTTGATATTTTGCATCAAAGAGCAAGTGTTTTAGCAGCTTCAAATCAATCATTATTATGGGGAACTTATCGACCAAATTTATATTTTGGTACAAAGCCACGTTTGCCTGAATCTTTATTGACAGGATTAATGTGGTTTGGAATTGAGCATATGTCTAGTTTTAAACGTATCCTTTACTATTTTATATTTTATTTTTATTATATCACAAATAACTTTTTAGTCTTTAACATATTTTCATTTTCAAAAAAAAAAGATATTAGACATGCTTGTGATCAAGAAGACGAATTAGATGAATATAGTTTTAAAAAACATGATGGCCGTAATTTTGCTATACAAACTTTATCTGATAGTAAAAATAATGTTAAATTAAAAACCGAATTATTAAAAATCCCGGGAGGAAATCACGGTATAAAATAATTATCTTTTTTTTTTGAAAAAATTTTTGGTAAAATCATTTATTAATTTAGGTGGTGAGTGGGCGATTCGTATATCCGGAAATCCGATAAATGACAAAGGTAAAAAAAAATTTTTTCCTGATTTCAAATTGAATCGTAGACTAAAATAAATGTAATTTTCAATTCCAGAGCCTTCTAGAATTTCAATTCTTTATTATTTTGGACTTGAAGGAGATGGTTCAATCGAATTAGTTAATTCATTGAATAAAATGGTTGTTATTATATATTTTTTACATTTTTTTATAATTTTTTTTTACAGATTTATTTATCTTTACATACTCATACAGGGTTTGGATAATCCAGTTGAACTTAAAGGGGAAACTCCAGAATTAGGAAAATTTTCAATTAAGATCCTCAATGGTAAAAAATTACATTCAAATTATTTACTTAAGAATATACTTTTTAATATTTGATTACAGAGATTGTATGCTAATAAGTTATTATTATGTTTTATTTATCGTTATAGATCCGAATAATAAGATGCCGACGAATATTCCTCCGGGAATTCCAGCATCGACTGATCTATCAAAAATTCAATATTGGGGACATTTAGTCCCTGATGGAGATGTTTGGCGTGCTAAGGGTAAATAGAAAGCGATAGGCTGTTCATAATTTATTTTGATTGATAAATTATTAGATAAAATATTATACATTTATATATTTTTATAAAAAAAGATCTATTACAAGGGCATCTGATTAGAAAGTATGAGAAAACAAGAGATGAAACACAAGAAGATTATATTCCTCCATTACCGTATTTATTTTCATTGAATAATGAAGTTGGAAAGGATTCAAATTTCTTTATTTTTCAAAATATGGTTGAAGGTCCTTTTCAAGTAAGTTGTTTTAAGTAAATTTTATTAATTTTAATTAATAATTAAGGTATTAATACAAATGACGTTATTTTAGTTTGATATATTCTTTCAATCCGAATCAACACCTGTTCATCTTGATTGTAAGTAAAAATAAATGAATTTTTTATTTTAAACTCATCTAATTTTTTTTTAGTTGAAAGTTTTACATCAGGTCTTGAATCTAGTTACCAGGAATTTGATTTGAGATTTGAGAAAACTTTTGGTTTAAGTGCAAAAGGATTTGGTGATAGACAAATTTATTTTGCACAAACCATTATGAGCAATTTAATTGGAGGAATCGGGTATGATTCATCTTTACATTCAATGATATCAACTTTTTAAAGAATTTGTTTTAAAATGTTTTCTTTTAGGTACTTCCATGGCTCAAGCATTATCGATAGGTCATTTGCAGAAAGTGACGAAGATGATGTAGAGTTTTGGACAAAATATCGACAAGCGGATCCAAAATTAATACCGCCCTTAGCTTTATTTACAGCAACTCCGTCTCGGCCTTTTTTTCCCCGTGGATTTTATTGGTAAATTTATATGTTTATGATATTTCTAAATGAAACCGTTTAAAGATTTTTTCTTTGTTCTTTTAGGGATGAAGGTTTTCATCAATTATTGATTGGTGTATGGGACAATGATTTAAGGTTGAAATCTTAGTCTTAAAATTTAATTGTAAAGAAAAAAATAATTTTGTAATCATAACAAATTTCATTATTAGTCTGGATATTATTAAACATTGGGTCTCTTTAATTGACGATGATGGATGGGTTGCTCGAGAACAGATTTTGGGAGAGGAAGCTCGTAGTAAGGTTTGAATTAAATTGAAAGATTTTTATTTTTTGTGGAGACGACGTTTAACATTTTTCTTTTTAGGTTCCAGCGGAATTTCAAACCCAATATCCACACTATGCAAATCCTCCTACGTTGTTATTTGCAATAAAAGCATTTATTGAAAGAGTCGATAATATAGAGAACCACCTTGGTGCAGACGGTGATATTTAAAATCTTATATATGTTACACATTCAACTTTTATAAAATTTGTTAATTAATTATTAATATATATATATTAATATATATATTAGATGTAATTGGACAAAAAATATTCAGTGATCATATAACCAGTACAACGGATCCATCAATTATTACATCAAGATATATTTTGGATAAAGAATTGGCAAAAAATTATTTGGAAGAAATTTATCCGAAATTAAAGTTAAATTATAAATGGTTTAGAAGAACTCAATGGGGTGAAATTAAAGAATGGGGAAGGAAAGCAAAAAGTAGAGAAGCTTATAGATGGCGCGGTCGTACTCCTGGGCATACCTTAACTTCTGGTGTGTAAATTAGTAAAGTTCATAGAAATTGTAAAATTTATTGAGTAATTTTCTTTGATAAACAAAAAATTAGGGCTTGATGATTATCCTAGACCGACGCCACCACATCCTGCTGAATTGCATGTTGATCTTATGTGTTGGGTTGGATTTATGGCAAGAACACTTAAGGATATCGCAGAAAGGTTGGGAGATGATGATGATGCAGAAGATTTTGGAAGAGAATACAAAAATATTGTTGCTAATTTAATTGGTAAATTATTGTTTTCTTAGATGATGTTTTATTGGTATACTTATTTGCAAATATTTTTATCTAGATTTACATTGGAGTGAGGAACATAACGCGTTTTGTGATTTATCAGTCGATGAAGATGGTAAGTTTTTGAAGTTTGATAATTTATTTAATATAAAATAATTGAGAGATAAAATAAATCATTTAATTCTTTAATTTTAGAGGAATCAATATTTGTTTGTCATAAAGGATATTTGTCGTTATTTCCAATGGTGTTAGAATTATTGCCTAACGATTCACCAAAGTTGGGAGCAATATTAGATTTGATACATAATCCAAATGAATTATGGTCAACGTATGTTATTTACACCTTGAAGATGTATTTCACTTGTTACTTTTATTATAACAATACTTTTCTTGCTTGAGTAGATATGGATTAAGGTCATTGTCAAAATCTAATAAATTATTTCATACGGGAGAAGATTATTGGAAAGGAAATATATGGATAAATGTCAATTATTTAGTATTATCTTCAATATATAAAGTAAGCAATCCAAATATAGGTTAAAATAATTATTTCATTCTAAATATTTATTTTCCTTTAGAATTATGCAATTATCGGAGGTCCTTATAAAGAGAAGGCAAAGGCTATATATGATGAATTGAGAAACAATATTATCAAAAACGTTTACAAGGTAGAAAATATAAAATATAAATAAAAAATCTCGTCTATTTATGATGTATTATTAACGAAACTAAATTTACTTATGTAATAGGAATTTGAAAGAACTGGATATGTATGGGAACAATATTCTGAAAGTACGGGCGCTGGTTTAAGAAGGTAACAAACAAGTTGTCTTAATTATTAGAAAAATTATATTTTATTAACATTCATTTTTATCTATTTAGTCATCCATTCACAGGTTGGACATCATTAATAACATTAATTATGGCTGAAAAGTATTAAATTAAAATAATGTAGAGATTTTAATATTTATAATATTTTGAGATTATTAAAAAATGATCCGGATTATTAAAATTTTTTCTGGTAAAATAAATTGCACTACAAAACAAACTTTGATTATTTATGAACAAACTTATAATGAGTGTTCCAAACCTAGTGATTCAAATTTAGAATTACTCCATATAGTTTATAGATTAATTAATAAATTTAGCCAGCTGATTAATAAATTGCTATAAATTAGTAATTTGATATTCCGAAATTAATTATTAGCTTAAGTATTTAATGTTAAATTTCCTTTTTGGGGGTTTTTTTTAATAGAAACTTTTCTAACTTTACTACGGATGTATAAATAAACACTGGTCATATTAATTTGAGATTATGGTTAGTCACTGTGTTTCGTTTTAACTACGTAATCTGGAAATTTTTCTGTAAGAACACTATTTGTCACGGTACTACACCTCGTGTATAATCGTTGAAATATTATATCATCTTCGGTTTTTTTTTTTAAAAAAAAAAAATTTTATTATAGTCAGACATTCTTGAGTATCTTTGAGAAAATTTTAAAATTATTAATTATTTTATATTAATATTATCAATCATATATATAAATCATTTGCTTACAATCAT